GCAGCCTGGTGTTTGGCACTGTGACTGGTTCTGCTGTAAAGGAGGTTATGGCAAGGCCATAGCAAGAAAAGAGAAGATTGAGTCTAGCACAGAAATTAATGAGAGCAAGTTAAATAGACAGGGCAGGCAAGAGCGTAGCAGGGAATGAGGCAAGATTGATTAATTAAACTGCATTTATTTTCAGTGCAAGAGGCCTGACAGGTAAGGCAGATGAAGTCAGAGCATGGACGGGAACATGGGACTGGGATGTCATAGCTATTACAGAAACATGGCTAAGAGACAGACAGGACCGGCAGCTTAACGTTCCAGGGTACAGATGCTATAGGAAGGATAGAGGAGAGGCAAGAGAGGAGTGGGAGTGGTGTTTTTGATTAGGGAGAACATCATGTCAGTACTTAGAGAGTATATTCCTGAGGGATCATCCAATGATGCTATATGGGTGGAACTGAGTAATAAGAAGGGAGTGATCACTTTGATGCAATCATACTGTAGGCCCCTCCTGGTCATCAGTGAAAAATTGAAAAGGAAATATGTAGGGAGATCACAGATAGCTCCAAGGATAATAGGATTGTAATACTAGAGGATTTTAACTTTCAAAACGTAGACTGGGACTGCCATAGTGTCAAGGGCTTGGATGGGGAGGGTTTTGTTAAGTGTGTTCAGGAAAATGTTCTCAATCAATATGTAGGTGCCCCGACTGCAGAAGGTTCAAAAACTGACCTCCTCTTGGAGGCAAGGCAGGGCAAGTGACTGAGGTATTAGTGGGGAGCACTTTGGAACCTATACTCTATTAGTTTTAAAATATTTATGGAATAGGATAGGTCTGGTCCACAAGTTAAAGTTCTAAATTGTATAAGGCTAATTTTATGATATTAGACAGGAATTTTCAAAAGTTGATTGGTGAAGGCTGTTTGCAGGTAAGTGGGAATCTTTCAAAAGCAAGATAATGAGAGTTCAGGGGCAGCATGTTCATATTAGTATGATGGGCAAGGCTGGTAGCAGTCAAGGTGATTAGAGAAATTGAGGCTTTGGTCAAGAAAAAAAGTACATGGCACATACAGACACCTGGGATCAAGTGAATCTCTTGAGGAGTATAGGGGGTGTAGAAGTACAGTTGAAAGGGAAATCAGGAGGGCAAAAAAGGGACATGAGATAGCTTTGGCAGATAAGGGACAGGAAAATCCAAAGAGATTCTACAAATATATTAAGGACAAAGAGTAACTAGGGGGAGAATAGAGCCCCTTAAAGATCAATGAGGCCATCTATGCATAGAGCCACAGACGATGGGCGAGAGCCTAAATGAATATTACTCATCAGGGGAGGCAATGGCCTGGTGGTATTATCACTGGACTGTTAATTCAGAGAACCAGTAATGTTCTGGGTACCCAGGTTTGAATCCCACCACAGCAGATGGTGGAATTTGAATTCAATAAATATCTGGAATTAAGAGTCCATGAATCCATTGCCAATTGTTGGAAAAACCCACCTGGTTCACTAATGTCCTTTAGTGAAGGAAATTGCCATCCTTACCTGGTCTGGCTTATATGTGACTCAAGACCCATGCAACGTGGTTGACTCTGAATTGCCCTCTGGGCAATTAGGGATGGGCAATAAATGGCCTAGCCAGTGATGTCCACATCCCACAAATGAATAAAAAAGAAGTATTTACCTTGGAGAAACACATGGAAGCTAGGGAACTCAGGAAAGTAAATAGTGATGTCTTGAAAAAAGTCCATATTACAGAAGAGGTAATTCTGGAGGTCTTAAAATGCGTAAAGGTAGATAAATCCTTAGGTCCTTATCAAGTGTATCCCAGGACATTGTGAGAAGCTAGGTAAGTAATTGTGAGGCCCTAGCAGAGATATTTGTATCATCAACAGACACTGGTGAGGTGCTGGAAGACTGGACAGTGGCTAATGTTGTGCCTGAGGTTGTAGACATTCTCACCAAGCTGGTAGGTTTGGTTGCAAATATTTCATCACCCTGCTAGGTAACATCGTCAGTGCACCTCCAGTGAAGCGTCGGTGTTCTGTCCTGATGTTATTTCTTTGCCTCGGTTTGCTGGGGTGATTGATATTACTTCCAGTTTTGTTTCTCAGTGGTTTGCATACAGAAGTATACCAACCAACCCAGCAAACTGAGGCATATAAATAGCAAGCGGGACAGAACACCAACGCTTCACTGGAGGCGCACTGACGATGTTACCTAGCAGGGTGACGAAATGTTTGTAACCAAACCCACCGGCTAGGCCAGCATGTCTACAACCTCATCCACAACCCAAACTGCTTGGAAACTTTAATGCTGTGTCTTTATTTTAAAAAAGGCTGAAAGGAAAAGCCAGGGAACTATAGACTGGTGAGGCTAACTTAAATGGTGGCTACATTGTTAGAGTGGATTCCAAGAGACAGGATCTGCATGTATTTGGAAAGGGAAGAACTGATTAGGGATAGTCAGCATGGCTTTGTGCGTGGGAAATAGTGTCACACAAATTTGATTGAGTTTTTTGAAGAGGTGACCAAGAAGCTAGGTGAAGGCAGAGCAACAAACGTTGTCTGCATGGACTTTAGAAAGGCCTTTGACAAGGTTCTGCATGGTAGACTGGTTAGTAAGGTTAGATCACATGGGATCCAGGGAGAGCTAGCCAATTGGATAGACAAAATTGGCTTGACCGCAGGAGATAGAGGATGGAGGAAGAGGGTTTTGTTTAGTCTGGAGGCCTGTGACCAGTGGTGTGCTACAAGGATCAGTGCTGGGTCCACTGTCATTCATCAAAATGATTTGGATGAGAATATGGGAGGCATGGTTTGTAAGCTTTGGATGACACCAAAATTGGTGAGATAGCAGACAGGGAAGAAGATTATCTAAGAGTACAATAGGATCTTGATCAACTGGACTAGTGGACCGAGGAATGGCAGACGGAGTTTAATTCAGATAAATGTGAGGTGTTGCATTTTGGCAAAACAAACAAGGGCGCAATTAATGGTAGGACAATGAGGAGTGCTGTTGAACAGAAAGATCTAGAGGTGCAGGTACGTAGTTCCTTGAAAGTGGCATCACAGGTAGACAGGGTGGTGGAGAAGGCTTTTGGCACGCTTGCCTTCACTGGTTAGTGCCTTGAGAATAGGAGTTGGGATGTCGTGTTACATCTCTACAAGGGTTTGGTGAGGCCACATTTGGAGTATTGCATACAATTCTGGTCGCCCTGCTCTAGGAAGATGTTATTAACCTGGAAAGGGTGCAAAAAAGATTTACAAGCATGTTACCAAGACTGGAAGGTTTGCATTCTAATGAGAGGTTGGATAGACTGGTACTTCTTTCCCTAGAGCATAGGAAGCTGACAGGTGACCTTATAGAGGTTAATAAAATCATGAAGAGTATAGGTAAAGTGAATTGCCAAAGTCTTTTTCCCAGGGTAGGGGATTCCAAAACTAAAGGGCACGTTTTGCGGTGAGGGGGAAAAGATTTAAAAAGCCTGAAGGAAATGTTCACAAAGTGGGGTGGTGCATATGTGGAATGAGTTGCCAGAGGAAGTGGTAGAGACAGGTACAATTATAACATTTCAAAGACATTTGGACTGCTACATAGATAGGAAAAGGTTTAGAAGGATATGGGCCAAACACAGGCAATAGAGGCTAGTTCAGTTTAGGAAACTTAGTCGGCATGGACCACTTGGTCCGAAGGGCCTGTTTCCATGCTGTATGACTCCATGACTCTAATATCCAGTGTTCAGGTTTCAATTTTCAATGTTCAGTGTTCAATATTCAGTGTTCAGTATTCAATGTTTAATATTCACTATTCAATCCTCACTGTTCAATCTTCAATGCTCAGGTTTCAATATGCAGTGTTCAGTGTTATATGTTCAGTGTTCACAGTTCAGGACATGGGGTTCACTGTAAACATTCAGTGTTGACTTTTCAATGTTCACTCTTCAAGGTTCAATGTTCGGTTTTCAATGTTCTGTGTTTGTTGTTCAGTGTTTGAGGTTCAGTACTCAGTGTTCAGGGATCAGTGTTCAGGCTTCAATGTTCAGTGTTCAAAATTCAGAGTTCAATGTTCAATGTTTAGTGTTCAGGGTTCAGCATTCAGAGTTCAATGTTCAGGGTTCCAAGTTCAATGTTTAGAGTTCTGCGTTTGGGGTTCAGGGTTTAGTTTCCAGGGTTCAGTGTTCCAGGTTTCACTGTTCACTGTCCAGGGTTCAATGTTTAGTATTTGGGGTTCAGTGTTTAGTGTTAGGGGTTCAGGTTGTGGGATTTAAGTATGCTCCCCCACTCTGGGGCAGCTCACTGAAAATCAACCCCTACTATTCCCCGAGCTGTCACAGAAGGTTACATTTTCAAAATAAATTCACAAAACCCCCCAAACAACTTGTTATTTCAGATTCAGGCTGACAGGAAACACAGAATCAGGTTTCTAACCTCAGCTTGAATCGCTATTTATTACAGGTCATTCGATTCTAGCTGCAGTTAAAGAATTAAATTAATTTAAGTACAAATTAAAACTCTAAATCCTTGTAAATTTGTCCTCCCACACAGAAAGTCATAAACGGGGAGAAAAAAAATATGGGCAGCAGGGAAATTGGGAAAACAGTCTTTGTTCACAAGAACTGTTGGGTTCATTATTGCTTATCTGAAGGTTTTTCCATGACCACTTGTTTTCTGAATGCAAAAGGCACAGGCTGGCTGATTCACTTATGAAAGTTCTCTGACTTATCCAATTCAGAGTTGCAACTTGCAGCGTCTGGGGAAGGAAAGACAAGCTGGTTTTTATCAGGTTTAAAGTGGGTTACTGCAGAGAACTGAGAGTGAGTGTGTTTTGGCTGCTGCAGACCTGCTGGTTTCTCCTCAATCTGACCTCGCTTCTCTCTGTCTTGTTCACAGCCCAAACTGTTCAGCTTCCTGACAACCAATCACATGGTTGTTGGCGGGCAGAGGACCTTTCTCATTGAAACCTGGCCACTAATCCACACCAATCAGCTTCACTTGTAAACCACTTCTCAGCTCCAGTTCGTCTGCACGTTGCTGGGACCCACAGCTCCAGAAACAGGATTCTCAAAAGGTATCAAATTCCTTACTTTCAGAACATGCAGCCATCCTTGTACACCCCTGGGTTTCAAAACAGCTGTTTTTCATTTCAGACCAGCTTTATAACTTAAAATGACAAAGCCTTTACAGTGTCCAGTGTTCGGGTTTCAGGGTTCAGTGTTCGAGGCTTAGAGTTGGAGTGCATGGGTCAGGGTTCAGAGTTTGGTTTTCAGGCCTGACATTTAGCGTTTGGGGTTCAGTGTTTGGTGTTTGGGTTCAGTGTTTGGGGTTCAGTGTTTGGTGAGCAGAGTTCAATGTTCAAGGTTCAGTGTTTCGTGCCTAGGGTTCAGGTTGTGGGGTTTGGGGTCCAAAGTTCTGTGTTTGGGGTTCAGAGTTTGGTTTCCAGGGTTCAGAGTTGTGTTCGAGGTTCAGTGTTTAGTGTTTGAGGTTCAGGGTTCAGTGTTCAGTGTTTGAGGTTCAGGTTGTGGGGTTGCTCCCCCTCCCTGGAGCAGTTCACTGAAAATCAACCCCTACAGTCCCAGAGTCATCACAAAAGGTAGCATTTTTAAAATAAACTCACAAAATCCTCAAACTTCCTGGGTTTTCAGACTCAGACTGCCAGGAAATATAGAATCAGGTTTCTGTCCTTAACAAGAACAACTATTTATTACAGGTCATCAGAATCCAGATGCAGGTAAAAAATTAAATTAAGTACAAATTAAAACTCTAAATCCTTTATAAATTCATCATCCCACACAGACAAACATAAACAGGGGGAAAAATATGGGCAGTAGGGAAACTGGGAAAACAGTCTTTGTTCACAAGAACTGTTGAGTTGGTTATTGCTTATCTGAAGGTTTTTCCATGACCACTTGTTTTCTGAATGCAAAAGGCACAGGCTGGCTGATTCACTTATGAAAGTTCTCTGACTTATCCAATTCAGAATTGCAACTTGCAGCATCTGGAGAAGGAAAGATAAGCTGGTTTTTATCAGGTTGAAAGTGGCTTATTGCAGAGAGAGTGTGTGTTTTGGCTGCTGCAGACCTGCTGGTTTCTCTTCAATCTGACCTCGCTTCTCTCTGTCTTGTTCACAGCCCAAACTGTTCAGCTTCCTGACAACCAATCACATGGTTGTTGGCGGGCAGAGGACCTTTCTCATTGGAATCTGGCAACTAATCCACACCAATCAGCTTATGTCCAGCATTCAGTTTTTGGCGTTCTGTGTTCAGGATTTGAGGTTCAGTTTTTGGAGGTCACTCTTCTGGCTTGTATTTCAGGGTTTAGTATTTGGTTTCAGTGTTCAGGATTCGTGTTCAATGTTCAGTGTTTGGGGTTCAGTGTTCCAGATTCCAGTTCAGTTTTTGGAAGTCACTCTTCAGACTTATATTTCAGGGTTTAGTGTTTGGCTTTGTGGTTTATTTTTCAATGTTCAGGGCTCAGAGTTCAGCATTCAGTGATCAGGGTTTAGTGTTCAGGGATCAGGGTTCAGCATTCAGTGATCAGTAAACAGGGTTCAGTGTTCAGGGATCAGGATTCAGAGTTCAGTGTTCACTGTTCAGTCCTCAGTGCTTATGGTTCAGGTTTTGCAGTTCAGAGTTTGGGGTTCAGCGTTTTGGGTTCAGGTTTTAGAGTTTCGTGTTCAAGATTTGGTGTTCAGGTTTTGGTGTTTGGGTTTGAGATTTAGGATTGGGGTTCAGGGTTCAGGCTTTGAGATTCGATGTTTGGGGTTCAGGGTTTGGGGTTCACTTTCAGTGTTTGGGGTTCAGGATTCAGGACTTAGGGTTCAGAAGGTTTGGAGTTTGTGATTTGGAGTTTGGGGTTTGGGATTTAGGTTTCAGTGTTTATACTTCAGTATTCAGGGTTTGGGGTTTAGATTTTGGGGTTTGGTGTTCAGGCTTCAGTGTTTGGGGTTCTAGGGTTCATGGTTCAGTGTTTGGGGTCTGGGGTTTGTAGTTTGGGGTTCAGTGTTTAGGGTTCTGGGTTTAGAGTTCAGTGTTTGGGGTCTGGGGTTTGTAGTTTGGGATTCAGGGTTTAGGGTTCAGTGTTTGGGGTCTGGGGTTTGTTGTTTGGGGTTCAGTGTTTAGGTTTCTGGGTTTAGAGTTCAGTGTTTGGGGTCTGGGGTTTGTAGTTTAGGGTTCAGTGTTTAGGGTTCTGGGTTTAGGGTTCAGTGTTTGGGGTCTGGGGTTTGTAGTTTGGGGTTCAGGATTTAGGGTTCAGTGGTTCAGGTCTGGGGTTTGTAGTTTGGGGCTCAGGTTTTGAGGTTTAGGGATCAAGGTTTGGGGTTCAGGTACAGGCTTCATAGTTCGATACTCAGGGTTTCGAGGTTTTGGGTTTGGGGTTCTATTCTGAGATTTGTTGTCTTCAGACTCCCTATGCCACCCTCTCACCATGTTCTCTCCCTCCACTCGTTGCCCTCCTCTACAGATGGACTACCTTGGCCCACCTTTCGATAATCCAGACTTCGACCCTCCGCGGCTGAACCGTACAGAGGCCATTCCCAGTGCCACGCTAGAAGTGAGTGCTTGGAGGAACCTTGGTGACCAGCGTCGCCTCACGGAGAATCTTCGGGCCTACACCCTGTTGCTGCGGTGCCTGGGGGATGTAGATCGGGAGCTGACTAACCCCACCCTGAGGCTGACCTTCCAACACTTCTGCGCCAGCATCCGGGGACTAACCATCAGCATCTCAGGCCTGGTCACCTCACTGGGCTATCCCGCGCCTACCCTACTTCCCCCTGCGCACTTGGCCAGGGGCCTGGCACCTGCCCCCAGTGACTTCCTGAAGAAACTTGACCACTTCTGGCTGATGCGGGAGCTGCAGGGTTGGTTACTGCGCTCGGCCAAAGATTTCAATCGTTTAAAGAAACGTCTTGGCGGCTTTGTCACCCATTTGGACTATCGGAGACCCTGATTTGGGGAGAAGGGGAAGATCCCCGTCCCTTTTCTCCACACCCTGAACCCCTCACCTTGACCATCCCGTTAGTGCCTTATGCTAACATACATTCCCCACCTCCACCTGCGTGCCTCCTCCTGCCAAACATTCCCTACTGCTGGATGTGATTGCGCGAGCGGACAGTACTCATGCAACAGTCCCAAGTGCACCATTTACTACAAACAGTCAGGTGCATTCGTGGCTAGGGATGCCTTCTCTGCAAACAACAGGAATGTGTTGTGTGTTTGATTCCAACGTGCCTGAAACCCAAGGACCTCCTCTTGCTTACACAATGGTGATGCTCAGCCAATCCAGACCAGATCAGACAACTGATCAACACTCTTTTGTGGGGTGCAAATTGCTTGCTTGTTTGACTTTAAACATTCTCAAGTTTATCCTCACCAACACAGGATAAATGCTTCCAAATACTGTGTCTCTTTCCAGTGACTATTCAACCAGCCTAACACCTCATCAAAGTACCACAAACATCCCATAACGTTCCTGCCTTATACCCACCTTGCAACACCATATTGTTAGGAATACACTCTGATCTCTCCTCAATGAAGAGGAACGGAGAGAGAGGGCAATCAGCGATAATGTTCTTGGCCGATTTCCAAGATGTCCGTAGTCCTGACGGGAGAGGTGACATCATAGAGGGGAAGGAGTAGGGGTCTAAATTGTGCCGTTGCAGGGGCAGGAGAGGGTCATGGCCAGGGAGGCTTTTAGGTGGTGTGATGAACGAAGTCCATAAAATTTTTCTGGCTGTTTTAGTTTTGAGAGAAATTCCTCTGTGGTTTGGCAGAGTCTCATGTGAGAAAGGGACAAATGTAGGACCCGAGCCTGTTGCCATTTCAGCAGGACAACAAGTCAAAGAGCAGGCAAAGAAGGGCATGGGCTACAGATCTTACCTCCTCTGAAACATTGGGAAAGGCCCAATGACCAGGCAAAAATAGTGAGTCTCAGAGAAAGGGTGTCATGGAATATGCATGAAGAGGGAAAGCCTCATAGAAATGAGGATGAAAATTGCCACCTCACAATCCATAATAATTCAGATAAAATAATGCAGATCCATCGAGGAATAAATTGCTCCCAAAACAGGCCAGGTCAGGGCATAAAACACCACGGTCAGTGCCAAGCCCCAATAGCAACCACTTGGTTAGTAGGAGAGAAGGGGCGATATAATACACTGCATTAGAGAGAAAGAGGGTCCGGGGAAATCGGCCAGGGTTCCAGCTCCTGATCACTGTCCAGTGATCCCTGGGTTAGAGAGAGAGAAGAGAAGGGAAATTTCAGCCTCCCATGGTTGTTTCTTTCTTCTCTAGCAGGGTGGGTTATGTGACAGCACACACATCCTACAGACTGTAACCGCTCTATGATTAATATTTATTTATTTGAACTGTTATTTAATTTATTTATTACAAAAACTTCTAACATGTCATCATAAATAAAGGTGCTAGTTTCAAAATCTTTACTGAATTGTCCAGCTTTCTGTCTTTTCAAATTACAAGCGGCTTTTTGAAACACGGGGACAGGTGGAGCCATTCAGCCCCTTTGTCAATCTGTTACAAAGTTTTATACTACGTATTTCTAAGCCTCATACTTGGAAAGTGAAAGCAAGTTAAACATATATCATATGACTGCAGCAAGCTACAAGAATACAATATACGAAATGTCCTGGGAACCCAGCTTCAAATCCCACATGGCAGATGGTGGAAATTGAATTCAATAAAAATCTGGAATTAAGAGTCTAATGATGACCATGAACTATTTTCAATTATCAGAAAAACCGATCAGGGTCACTAACGTCTTTGAGAGAAGGAAATCTGCCATCCTGACCTACATGTGACTCCAGAACCACAGCAACATGGTTCACTCAAAACTATCTTCTGGGCAATTAGGGATGAGCAGTAAATGCTTGTCTAACTTGCAATACCCACTTCCCAATAATAAATTTTAAAATGTTGTCTTTTTCCAAACATCCCTCTTTCCATAAAAGGAAAAAAACAAAATTGTGGACACCATTTTGCACTGACACATTATCTTACACATATTATCTCTAATGCCAACTTTATTTCACGTACCAAATTCTGCTAATTTCAGTCAGTCCCACTTTTATCAATCTCTACATGTGCCTTTCATGAGTTATCTCTAAAGTCTTCAGTTCTTCTGATGATATATGTGGTATTTATTTTTTTGCCAGTTGGTCTGGAATCAGCTCCATTCATCTCTGGGGAACCTTGGTGCCAAGGTGAGTGCTTCATCAGGGCAGGACTCTGGTCTTTTAGACTGAATGTCTGGATTGGGGAGCACTTTTCCTCTGTCAGTTGCAGACCTCTGTACTTCTGCCACTTTCAGCAGCATCATTTCCTCTTCCCCCATTCAATTATACCTTTTCCCTCCTCCTGTGTTGTGCCCTTTTGTTTCACTTGCCTACCTTGTGCATGAAAACAGGATTAAGATAGTTCAGTAGTTGATTTTGACTCGATGGGCTGAAGAGCCTTTTTCTATCCTGTGAATCTCTATGACTCTATCATCAGCTGCTAAGAATGATTCAGAGAGACATAGAACTGTATAGCACGGAAACAGATCATTTGGTCCAAGCTGACCATTTATCTATATTAATTTAAATAAATGCCATTTGCCAGCATTTGGCCCATATCCCTCTAAACCCGTCCTATTCATTTACCTATCCAGATGCCTTTTAAATGTTGCAATTGTACCAGCCTCCACCACATCATCTGGCAGCTCATTCCACATACGCACCAACATCTGGTGAATAAGTTCTCCTTAAGTCCTTTTTAAATCTTTCCCCTCTCACATTAAACCCATGCCTTCCAGTTTTGGACTCCCTACACTAGAAAAAAGACCTTGGCTATTCATTCTATCCATGCCCCTCATGATTTTGTAAACCTCCATAAGTTCACCCCTCAGCCTCCAATGGTCCAGGAAAAATAGCCTATTCAGCCTCTATCTATAGCTGAAATCCACCAACCTCGGCAACATCCTTGTAAATCTTTTCTGAACCCTTTCAAGCTTCACTGCATCCTTCCTATAGCAGGGAGACCAGAATTGAACGCAGTATTCCAAAAGTGGCCTAATCAATGTCCTGTACTCCCAACTTCTATACTCAATGCACTGACCAACAACGGCAAGCGTACCAAACGCCTTCTTCACCATCCTGTCTACTTGTGACCCCACTTTCAAGGAACTATGAACCTGCACTCCAAGGTTTCTCTGTTCAGCAACCCTTGCCAGGATCTCCTAAGTGTGCAAGTTCTGCCCTGATTTGCCTTACCAAAATGCAACACCACACATTTATCTAAATTAAACTCTATTTGCCACTCCTTGGCCCATTGGGTCATCTGAACAAGACCCTGTTGTACTCTGAGATAACCCTTATCACTGTCCTCTGTACTATTAATTTTGGTGTCATCTGCAAGTTGGCTAACCATTCCTCCTATATTAACATCCAAATTATTAACATAAATGACAAAAAGCAATGGATCCAGCACTGAAATTGTGGCACACCACTGGTCACAGGCCTTCAGTTCAAAAAGCAACATTCCACCACCACCCTCTGTGTCCTACCTTCAATCCAATTTTGTCTCCAATCGGCTAGCTCTCCCTGGATTCCATGTGATCTATCCTGGCTAACCAGTCTACCATGCAGAACCTTGTGAAAGACCTTGCTGAAGTACATATTTAGAAAGTCTGCCATTCTGCATCCATCTGTCTTCTTTGTCACTTCTTCAAAAAATTCAATCAAGTTAGTGAGACACGATTTCCGACGCACAAAGCCATGCTGGCAATCCCTAATCAGTCCTTGCTTTTACAAATACATGTAAATCCTGTCCCTCAGAATCCCCTCCAACAACTTACCCACCACTGAGTCAGGCTCACTGGTTTATAGTTCCCTGGCTTTTCCTTACCACCTTTCTTAAATAACTTTTAAAAAATTCCTCACCCTTGTCATTTTTCTGAGTCATAGAATTGTGATGGAGTAGAGGATACCATTCTGAACATTCTGCCTGCATTGGTCTACAATCGAGCATCATTCCTAGTGCCAATCTCCTGTCTTTTTCCCATATCCCTGCACAATATTTCTATCCAAATAACCAAACAACACCCCTTTGACTGCCTCCACCACATTGCTAGGCAGTGAATTCTAGATGCTAACCACTCATTGTGTGTGAAGGCTTTTCCTCATGTTACCCTTGTTTAATTTTCACATCAGTTTAAATCTCTGCCCCTCTTGTTCTTGTCTCTTTTAAAAATGGGAACAGCTTGTGCCTATCTACTCTGTCCGGCCGCTACACATGATTTTGAAAACCTCTAACAGATCATATTGAGGGGAGGCAATGGCCTAGTGGTGTTATTGCTGGACTGTTAATCCAGAAACCAAGATAACATTCTGGGTTCAAATCCTGCCACAGGAGATGGTGGAATTTGAATTCAATAAAAAGTATCTGGAATTAAGAGTCTAATGATGACTATGAATCCAGTGCTGATTGTCAGAAAACCCAACAGCTTCACTAATGTCCTTTAGGGAAGGAAACTGCCATCCTTACCTGGTCTGGCCTACATGTGACTCCAGACCCACAGCAATGTGGTTGGCTCTCAACTGCCCTCTGGGCAATTAGGGATGGGCAATAAATGCTGCCTAAAAGTGATGCCCTCATCCTGTTAATGAATAAAGAAAAAAAAATTCCCTTTCATCCTTCTTCTGTCCAAGGAGAACAGTTCCAACTTCTTCAATCTATCCTCATCACTCAAGTTTCTCATCTCTGGAATCATATTTGTAAATCGTTTCTACACTCTCTCTGAAGCATTCAAGTCTTTCCTATAATGCGGTGCATACAACTGTACAAAATATTCCAGCTGAGGTCCAACAAGTGCCTTGTACGAGTTCAATATCACTTCTTTGCTCTTGGACTGCATGTTGCTATTAATAAAGTTGTAGACATTGTGTGCTTTATTTACTGCTCTCTCCACCTGTCCTGCCACCTTCAATAATCTGTGCATAAAGTGTATCTCTTTCTTTAATGTAATCAGTGACTTCGCCTTCACAGTCTTCTTTGATTTTGATTCCTTACTAATTAGATATCTTTCCATCCCAGCGTTGAATACCAAAATAGAATCAGAGAATCCCTAAAGTGCAGAAAGATGCCATTTGCGCCCAAGAGTCTGCACTGACCCTCTGAAGAAAATCTTACCCAGACCCATACACCCATCCTATCCCTATAATCCCCCGTAATATACTTAGCTCGACAACCTCAACAGCCCTCTGCAGTAAAGAATTCCACAGATTCACAACCGTCTGAGAGAAGAAATTCCTCCTCATTCTGTCTCAAATTGGCACCCCTTTATTCTGAGACTATGCCCTCTGGTCCTAGACTCTCCCATGGAGAAACAACCTCTCCACATCTCCCCTGTCAAGTCCCCTAAGAATCTTTGCATGTTTCATTAAGGTCACCTCTCATTCTTTTAAACTCTAATGAGTATAGGCCCAACCTACAACTTCTCATTAGACAGTCCCTCAATACCTGGAATCAGCTGAATGAACCTTCTCTGGACCGCCTCCAATGCCAGTCTATCTTTCCTTTGATAAGGGACCCAAAACTGTTCACAGTATTCCAGCTGTGTTCTGACTAGTGCTGTGCACAGATTGAGCAAAACCTCCCCAGTTCTATACTCCATTCCCCTAGAAATAAAGACCAACATTCAATTTGCCTTCCCAATTACCCAGTGAACTTGGATGCTGGCTTTTTGTCATTCATGAACCAGGACTCCCAAAACTTTCTGCGGTCTATTTAAATAATATTCAGCTCCTCTATTCTTCCTGCCGAAGTGCATCACTTCACATTTCCTGACATTCTATTCGATCTGTCACATTTTTGCCCACTCACTTAACCTGTCTGTACCCCTCTGCAAAGGATGGGAGACAGACAAAAATGCGCAGACACAGAGAAAGAGACAGACTGAGAGAAATAGAGAGAGAGAGAAAAGGGAGAATGAGAGACATATACAGCGAGAGCGACAAATGGACCGATGAGACATGGAAGGACAGTCAGAGTGAAAGACGGAGGAAAGCAAAAAGTCAGAAAAAGTGAGACAAAGAAGACACACAGAGACAGTGAGAGTGGGAGTCAGAGTGCCAAAAAGAGAGAGAGTGACAGATTTAGAGATAGAAAGAGAGAGAAAAGGGAGAAGGGGGAGAGAAAAAATACAACAGGCAAGCACAGCTGATGTTCCCAACTGTCTGAATGGTTTACCATGGGCACTCTCGACAAAAACAGTGACGAAATCGGAGATGTTCAAAGCAGGTGCAGCTTTCGAAGGATTGCTCCAAAACCAGATTCACACACGCCAGACACCTGCTCCAATATGTCACACATCATCAAAGGCTGAGAGCTGTCAGCACCTATAACCATTGCTCAATCTCTCTGAATCAGCACATCAAAGACAACACTGCAGAGAAAACAGCCCAGAATGCACAGGATCAGGACTGAGGGAGTGCTGCACTGTCAGAGGGTCAGCGCTGGGGGAACACTGCACTTTCGGAGGGTCAGGACTGAGAGAGCGCTGCAGTGTCAGAGGGTCAGGTCTGAAGGAGTGCCGCACAGTCGGAGGGTCAGAACTGAGGGAGTGCCGCACAGTTGGAGGGTCAGTGCTGAGGGAGAGGCACAGTGTCGGAGGGTCACTGCTGAGGGAGCACCGCGCTGTTGGAGGGTCAGGACTGAGGGAGTGCCACACAGTCGGAGGGTCAGTGCTAAGAGAGCGCTGCACTGTCGGAAGGTCAGTGCTGAGGGAGTGCCACTCTGTCGGAGAGTCGGTATTAAGGGAGCGCTGCACAATCAATGGGTCAGTGTCGAGGGAGTACTGCATTGTCAGAGGGCCAGTACTGAAGTAGTGCACACTGTCTCTTACCCCATGCTGTACCCCGTCTGGGAGTGTTTGATTATAACCATTGCTCAATCTCTCTGAATCAGCACATCAAAGACAACACTGCAAAGAAAACAGCCCAGAATGCACAGGATCAGGACTGAGGGAGTGCCACACTGTCGGAGGGTCAGCGCTGAGGGAACGCTGCACTTTCGGAGGGTCAGCACTGAGGGAGCGCTGCACTGTCGGAGGGTCAGGACTGAGGGAGTGCCGCACTGTCGGAGGGTCAGGACTGAGGGAGTGCCACACAGTCAGAGGGTCAGTGCTGAGGGAGAGGCGCAGTGTCGGAGAGTCAGTGCTGAGGGAGTGCCGCTCTGTCGGAGACTTGGTATTGAGGGAGCGCTGCACAATCAATGGGTCAGTGTTGAGGGAGTACTGCATTGTCAGAGGGTCAGTTCTAAGGAAGTGCTGCACTGTTGGAGTGCCACCCTGTCAGAGGGCCAGTACTGAAGTAGTGCACACTGTCTCTTACCCCATGCTGTACCCTGTCTG